GAGAGGACTGTGGAGGACCAAAACCAGCCAGGAACTCTAATGTAGATGGACATCTGCAACTACCAACTCATGACAAGATGTCACACTCAGGTTTAAACCCTCTGCAAAACAGTGTACCTGTAAGTGATCAGGAATTTGTACCGGAAAAACATCAAGTAGCTCCTCTGAATGTGCTACAAGCTTTGGCCACGAGGGATGTCTGCAGGAACCCAACGGACTCCAAAAAACAGGAGAGGAGCCATTTAGTTCTTCTGTCTGTGGTAAAGGATCAGTTTTAACCAAACACTTAACAGGTCATACAGGAGAAAAACCTTTCAGCTGCTCAGTTTGTAAAAGAAGTTTCAAAAACAGAAGCAGTTTGTCCAAACACATGAGAACCCACACAGGGGAGGAACTGTTGAGTTGTTCTGTCTGTGGTAAAGGATTCACACGAAAGTCAGATATGAGACGACACTCAATTGTCCACACAGGTGACAAACCCTTCAGCTGTTCTGTCTGTGGTAAAAAATTCAGACAAAACTCAAATTTGACCTCACACATGAGAGTTCATACAGGAGAAAACTCTTTCAGCTGCTCCATTTGTAAAAAAAGCTTTGGTTCCAAAAGCTGTATGTCCAGACACATGAGAATCCACACAGGTGAAAAACCCTTCAGTTGTTCTGTCTGTGGTAAAACATTTTCACAAAACTCAAATTTGACCTCACACATGAGAGTTCACTCGGGAGAAAAACCCTTCAGCTGCTCAGTTTGTAAAAAAAGATTCCGTGACAAAAGTTATATGTTCAAACACATGAGAATCCACACAGGTGAGAAACCTTTTAGTTGTTCTTTCTGTGGTAAAATATTTTCACAAAACTCAAATTTGACCTCACACATCAAGAGTTCACACGGGGGAGAAACCGTCTAGTAGCTTGTAGTAGTAGTTTGTTATAAATGTTTTGGGATCACAGAAACCTCACAAAGGTGAAGAGGTCATTTAGGATCTTAATTGTCATGCTAGTCATTGAACTCAGTTTCCCAGTATCCTCCAAAGGTCACGCAGACGCTTGAACTCGGCCTACAGACCCAACTGCAGCCTCAATTGGTCAAGACCTGTGACTTCAGACACCTTATTGATAAAACCACAGCTCTGTTTCCTCTCTTTTCACCTTCTTTCCACTCGGTTCTTCTCTCCCTTGGCTCCGCTACCTCTCAGGAGGACACCGGCCTGTTTTGACGCCACAGCGGCCTCCCAGCTTGGCCTGCTCAGACCGGACAGCCGCTTAAGATCCTGATGGTCAACATGTTGTTTTAAAATGTGATTTATAAATGAAATGACTTTAGTTACCTCGCAACATCACAGTTTATTTCTATTTGAATGGACTCTCCTGGTCTTTGCTCTCATTATGTGTAAAACACGAACAGTTGATTCTTAAACTGCTCGGACTGTCTTTGAGTTTTATCAGTCAGATCTCAAGTCTTTATTTCAAACTTTGATTTTACACAGTTGGACAGCTGATGTGTTGTATTTGTTGTATTTAGTTGCTTTTAAATCAGAGGTTTTGGATTTTCCAGCCTTTTTCCGGACAGTAATCAGATGCCATGTGGATGTTGAGAGAGTTGTTGGCTGCTGTAATCATCCTTCAGCTGGGTGTCTTCATCCGGGACTCAAGTATGTTCAATGCAGTTGTTTTGTTTTGACTCAGACTGCTGAGATCATTGTAAAGATTTGTTTCTCTGCCCCGCTCACTAACACATCATTGGTTCAAATGTGTGGCTGCTCTTTAGTAGCTTCATGGTTATTTTCTCAAGGCTTAAACATATATTCTCATTTGTTTTAAGTAAAAACTCAATGACAGGTGTAAATAAGTAAATACAGTGTTTGTTCCTTACTAATTTTCTAATGATGTTAGATGTGTAATCCATTGTAAGTTAGCAATAAAAATGTTTAATGTTTTAATAACTGTGTGTGTCATTTGGAAAACCAAATAGTTATTGATCAGTTAGTAATATATACATTATATGTAGCATTAATTGTAAATGATCCAAGAGGATTCAAGGAGGGGAAAGTGAGATGGAGATGACACCGTTAGACTTTGTGATAGTTCAAACATGGTGGCGCGCAACTAAATCAACATTACATTAATCAGACAATCTGCCAATTTAAGCCAAGGCCTGTACTACGACTGTTGAATAATGACCAGACTAAAGTCTTCTTCGCCCCTCAGTGTTTTCTCTCTCGTCCTCCACTTTGCAAACAGCGACATCAAATCACGTCGTCTGCACTCGCCCACAGCGTAAGCTCATTGTGCGGCAGTAATAAATTGTCCGTGAGAAACTGTGCACTAGTTATATGGATTAAATGAAGGCTCGATGTAATCTATTTGAATTTATCAATAAATCCTTTCAGTCCTTGTCACCATGATGAGAAACAGAAAAATACACTTCAATCATGATACCACTAATATAGATGCACATCCAGTGGCAGTGGGTCGATAAAGGGCGTTAAGGCGGCGTGCCCCCGCTCGCCACATCCTAGACCTTCAATGACTAGGTCTTTTAAAATATTAAAAAGGTTGAATTTTTTAATAACAGGTAAATTTTACATAGGGAGTGAGCAAAATGATCTGCAATAAAATGAGGATTGTACATTAGAGGTGGTGATGGAGCGGTGGATGAGACACATGCCTTTGGTTTGAGAGACCTGGGTTCAATTCCCCACAGCGACCCATCACATGGGCCTTCCTGAAACTGCTTGCTCCTCCTTCTTCCACTCCGTTTGTGCGTCTGGAGGTCCGCCACATTGAGCGCCATCTGAAACCAATGAGGGTGGAGTGGTAGTGGGTTGTTAAACCCTGCAATGCCGAGTCAGCACCGATGCCGGCTTGTTGAAGGTGTGTAACACCTTTTGCTGCACGATGGGGGACCGTTCTTTCAATTTGCGTTCCATGTGACTTCGCCGGTTAACATGTACGATTTTTTAATTCTGAAACAACTAACATTTCATGTCACCATTCACAGGTTAACGATGTATCCCAAAGGTTATGTTGTGGTTATAAAAAATGCTCTTGTCTGATGACAAAATAATTGTTTTTATTGAATCGTATTCATCTGATAGGAAAATCTTCAGCCAAAATACAATAACCTACATTAAGCGACAGAATAATAGAACATGGCACAACTAGATACACAGGATGTACATGTAACAAGCAACAAAGGCATTAAAGAAAAAGTCTTTATACATCTTAACTGTTAAAGACTATAATGCGTGATGTATTTGAGGATGTACTCTTTATGATATAAGATGAAAAGGTTTAAAGAGGCTTCTTTACAATGAATCAGTCTTTTCATAAGAGTAATATTTATTTTCTGTAAATATCTAAAGTCATGTTTTTAAATATTTGACACAAACACAAAATGAATGACAAATGCTTTCAGTTTCCTTATTGCTAAAAACACAATAAATCTTAATACACCTTATTTATTTGATAAACATATTATAGCAGTGAGTGCAGCAGTAACGTCAGATCCTGTTTACGCTGGGGAGAAGGTTGTTCATCTGAAAGTTAGCCCCTGTTTTTATTTAAGCACTAAGCGGACTAGGGAGCTCGATTTGGCTGTTGGCGAGGGTCTAGTTTAAGACCCCTAGTTGCTCCAGAGGCGTGTGACCTCTGACACACATACAGTGGATAGAAAAAGTCTACACACCCCTGTTAAAATGCAAGGTTCTTATGATGTAAAATAATGAGACAAAGATAAATCATGTCAGAACTTTTTCCACCTTTAATGTGACCTATAATGTGAACAATTCAATTGAAAAACAAATTTAAATCTTTGAGGGCATCACCTGTGCACAGCCCTCTTCAGATCACCCCACAGATGTTCAGTTGGATTCAGGTCTGGGCTCTGGCCGGGCCGTTCCAGAACATTAATCTTCTTCTGTTGAAGCCAAGCTTTTGTGGATTTGGATGTGTGCTTTGGGTCGTTGTTGTGCTGAAAGGTGAACTTCCTCTTCATCTTCAGCTTTCTAACCGACGCCTGAAGGTTTTGTGCCAAAACTGCCTGGATAGTTGTCACATGTACCACACAGCCAATACTTGCCAGAAATTCCTGCAGCTCCTTTAATGTTGCTGTAGGCCTCTTGGAAGCCTCCCTGACCACTTTTGTTTTCGTCTTTTCATCAATTTTGGAGGGCCGTCCAGTTCTTGTTAAAGTCACAGTTGTGCCATATTTTCTCCACCTGATGATCACTGTCTTCACTGTGTTCCAGGTATATCTAATGCTTTGGAAACTCTTTTGTACTCGTCTCCTGACTTATGTCTTTCAACAATGAGATCTCTCTGATGCTTTGAAAGCTCTCTGCGTTCTGTGGCTTTTGCTCAGAGATGCAACTAAGAAAATGTCAGGAAAATCCTCCTAGAACAGCTGAACTTTATTTGTGATTAATCAGAGTCACTTTAAATGATGGCAGGGGGTGTCTTCTAGTTAACCTGAGTTTGAATGTGATTGGTTAATTCTGAACACAGCCACATCCCCAGTTATAAGAGGGCGTGCACACTTATGCAACCAGGTTAATTTTAATTTTTCCCCCTCGAAGATTTCAGTTTGTTATTCCATTGAATTGTTCACATTATAGGTCACATTAAAGGTGGAAAAAGTTCTGACATGATCTTATTTATCATAAGAACCTGGCATTTTAACAGGTGTGTGTAGACTTTTTGTGTCCACTGTAGCAATTGTAATTCAGCTAAATGAAGTAATATAGATTATAAATGTTCTATGTTTATATTTACTCCAGTACTTTAGCCACAATTTAAAAACATTACATAATAAGTTCATTAATAAGTACAACAATAAATACATTTTTCTGAAATTATGCTTTTGTACTGTTTACTTTTACTTTATTTTGTGGTATTTCTAGATTCAGTAAAGATATGGGGTTGGGGGACGCTTTTATTTTGAAATAAAGTTCAGAAGTGGTACCGGAAGCATTTTAGGTGGTACTTCCTGTGGCTAACATGCTAACATTTTCCTTTCTGTCACCGTGAGATGCAGCCGGAGTTCAGCAGCAGAGCCTGCATGTGAGGATCAACGTGTTTAAGTGGACTCTGTTTAAACTTTCGGGATGTTTCACCTCAGACTCATCTCCTGTTAGCCAAGAATGCTAAAGGAAGTTAGCTTGTCAGCAGGAAGTAGCCGGAGCCGGAGCTCGGCCTCACAGTGTGTATTTTATCAGAGTGAGCTGCGTGTCTGTAACGGAGTGTGTCTGGAGGAAAAGCTGCTGTAAACATGTCTAAAGTCCAAACGCTGAGAGCTTTTGTCCAGCAGCGACTAAGTGCGGCTGCTGAAGAGATATTTGAGCTGTTTGAAAGAACGATAGCAGAGTACGAGGAGGAACTTTGTGGACAACGCAAACTACTGGACGCTGTTTTCAAGCCTGAAGTCCGGTTACACAGAGCAGGTTTGTGCACTTTACTGCTTATTCTCACTGGAAACTGCCTTTACTGCAGTAAAAGTATGTGAGTATTATCAGCAACATGTACTTACAGTATAATAATATTCTTTATCTGGGTAGTTGACAAATAGGCAGTAAAAAATATTTTCTTGTAAAACACCATTATTGAAGAAAACAATCATATTTACGTTGCGTTTTTTTTAAATATATGGGTCACCAATTTTATTCATTCTTTCCCTCTTTGTTTTTTGTTTACTTTTTGCTGAACTACACTGTAAATGTGTCCTGTTGTGTGACATAAAAAATCTTTTAAAAGTCTTCAGCGATATACAAACATGAAAGAGATTCATCTTAATTGTAAGACACTTTTTTCATATACTGTTATTTATTGGAAATGAAATTTTGAATAACACTATATTTCCCCATGAATTGGACTTGGACTGTTTGTATAAAAGTGAGTTAGACTTTGATGTCATCCTTTCAAAACTGTTGAAAAGTTATACAAATTTATGATGAGTGATGACTATACCTCCCTTGATGAAATATTGTTTTTATTAAAGATATTTGAGATAAAAGAACCAAAATGTGTGTTTATGTGTGTCATACTATAGGACACTACGTCACACTAATGGTGGTTGTCAGAATCAGTTTTATTGCCAGGTATGTGTACACACACGAGGAATTTGACTCAGTGCAGTAATCAGAGTGCAAATGATGCAAGAGTAAACTATTCTCATTATGTACGTGTTGAAGGTGGATGTGATATACAGGTACACATGTACACAGTGTGATGGATCATAGTGCAAAGGATGCTGGAAAAAATAAATAAGACCTGTGATCTTATGATCTGAGGTAGGTGTATTGGTATACAGTATATACAATATGACAGTATGAACAGCACAGAAATGGAGACTGGTGAATAAATAAATAAGCGTTTGCCAGTAAACAGGTGCTGAATAGAGTTACTGGGTTATTGCACAGGAATTGTTCCTGACACTGTGAGTCAGAGTCAGCTGTTCATCAGAGTGATGGCTTGTGGGAAAAACTGTTCCTGAGTCTGTTGGTTTTGGCGTACAGTGCTCTGTAGCGCCTACCAGAGGGGAGGAGCTGGAACAGGTTGTGTCCGGAGTGAGATGGATCTGCAGTGATGTTTCCTGCCGTTTCCTGACTCTGCCCACATGGAAAGAATCTATATAAACATATATGTTTTGATATAGGTTTTTAATATATGTGACATATGTAAAATTTGCCGTTTTCCTATAATATGTGTACATATATACGTGCATATATGTTCACCTATATTATAATAATAATAATAATCTTTATTTGTAGAGCACTTTTCAAAAACAAGTTACAAAGTGCTTTAACAAGTGTAAAGAATAATACAAAAAAAAAAAAAGATAAGAGCATGAAAATTTGATATAAAATTAGTAAATACAATAAAATAAAAGGGATAAAATAAAGTCAAATACGATCGGGAAAGGCTCTCCTATAAAAGTATGTTTTAAGAAGGGACTTAAAAGAGTTCACTGACTCAGCCGACCTGATTTCCTCGGGCAGGCTGTTCCAGAGCCTCGGGGCCCTGACAGCAAACGCTCTGTCCCCTTTAGTTTTCAGTCGAGACTCTGGAACAGACAACAGACCTCTGCCCGAGGATCTCAAGGTACGTGCTGGTGCGTATGGGACTAAAAGGTCAGAAATATAACAAGGCGAGAGGCCATGAAGAGCTTTAAAAGTGATCAATTTTAAAGTCAATTCTAAAACATACTGGGAGCCAGTGTAATGAAGCTAAAATAGGAGTAATGTGGTCATATTTCTTTGTTCTGGTTAAAAGCCTGGCAGCTGAGTTCTGGACAGTCTGGAGTCGATCAATAGATTTTTGGGTTAAACAGGTGAAAAGGCTGTTGCAATAATCCAGGCGTGATGAGATGAAGTCATGTAAAATGGTCTCGGTGTCCTTAAAAGTTAATAAGATCGAATTTTTGCTATATTTCTAAGTTGATAAAAACATGATTGAACAAACTTTGTAGTGTGCTGCTCGAAATTTATATTACTATCAAACCAAACACCAAGGTTCTTTGCCACAGGCTTAATGTGATTTACTAGGGAACCAGCAGATGGCAGTATTTGATTTGCCATCTGCTGAGACCCGATGACCAGGATTTCTGTTTTGTCTGAGTTCAGCTGGAGGAAATTATTTACATCCATTTTTTAACTTCACAAAGGCAGTTGTTAAGTGAACTCAGCATTCCAGGGTCTGTGGATCTGACGGGCAAGTATATTGTGTGTCATCAGCATAAATATGAAAAGAAATGCCATGTTTATGGATAATATGTCCAAGGGGAAGCAGATACAAGGAAAACAAAATGGGTCCTAAGACCGACCCCTGAGGCACACCATATTTAACTGGACAGAACGAGAGACATAGTTGTTTACAGACACGCAAAACTTCCTATTTGACAGGTAGGATGAAAACCATTCTAGGGCAGTACCAGAGATTCCCACCCAGTGCCTCAGTCTGTCTAACATGATGTTGTGATCAATGGTGTCAAAAGCAGCGCTAAGGTCCAGGAGTACAGGACTGAGCACATACCTTCATCAGCAGACATTAAAAGGTCATTGGTGACTTTAAGCAGGTAGTCTCAGTGCTGTGGTACTTCCTAAAACCAGACTGAAACTTTTCAGATATTTTATTTTCCAGTACAGTGAGCGGCTGTTTGGACACAATTCTTTCTAGAATCTTTGCAATAAAAGGCAGTTTTGAAAAATTTAAACTCAATTGTTGCTGGTGAGGGACCTCTGAGTAAGAGGCCACGGGGGTAATAGAGGCTCTGATTGACACCACCTTATTGGTAAAATAAGATAAAAACAATTCACAGTCATCATTACTTCCAGCTGAGGCACAAGGAGGGGTTGGGTTGGGTTTACCAGCTGATCCACAGTCTTAAACAGAAACCTGGGATTGTGTTTATGTGTAGTAATGAGTTCAGAAAAATAGTGTGTTCTCGCATCCTTACCATGTTATTGTAGTTAATTAATAAATCCTTCAGACTGAGGTAATGGACTTGGAGACTGGATTTTTTCCATCTGCGCTCTGCTTTCCTGCATTCCCTTTTCTGTCATTTATCCAGGGTTGCTTACTAGCTTTAGACGTAGGCCTAACCTTTAGAGGAGCAGTAATATTTAGTGACGACAAGCAGATATGATTGAAGTGATCGACCAGATTGTTGGTGTTGGTATCAGACAGGTGTTGGCTTTGGCTCTGAAAGAATGCGCAAAACTTTGAAACACTTTGTTCATTAAAGATGCGAGAACACACAGAGCTTGGTGAGGCGGCGTGAGTAACAGGCGAATCGCAGCTAAAAACAATCCATCTGTGGTCAGATATGGTCATGTCCACTAATTCCACAGAGGAAATGCTGACACCCAGAGTAAAAACCAAGTCTATGTCAGAGGTTGCACGCCTTTGGAGCAACAATGGGTTAAGTGTCTTGCTCAGGGACACAATGGTCGATGTCTCCCACACGAAAGGCAAGCATCTTATTTATGTGCCACCACCACCCATAAAAAGAAGTGGCCATATTTAAAAAGTTAGTTGCATTAACATTGTTGGGGTCATCAACATGAAAATTAAAATCGCCACAAAGAACAATTCTGTCATAATTTAAAACCAGAGTAGATAAAAATTCAGGAAATTCTGATAAAAATCTTCCAGGCAGTTTTGGGGGGCGATAAATTATAACAAATATGATAGGTTGCAGCCCTCCAAGTTTAAGAGTGAGAACTTCAAAGGAGTTAAATTCATCACAGCGTACTTGATGACATTTAAAATTTTTCCTATACACGCTCACTAGCCCACCACCACAACCACTGACCCTCGGTTGACTAAAACAATCATATTGAGGCGGACACAGTTCAGCTAGCTGGCTATAGTCATTCATTTGCAACCAGGATTCAGTTAAAAATATAAAATCTAGATTTGCAGACAAGATAAAATCATTTAAGATAAAAGTCGTATTTGAAAGTGATCTCACATTGAAGAGAGCCATTTTAAATGAGTTTGTTCTGGGTGCTGGAGTTGGTGCAGTTGTCCTAATCCTTAAGAGATTACTATGATTTCTGTGTGGGATGTGCACATTTCGGTTTACTGGTCTATGCGTGATGATGACAGGAATAGAAGTCTTTGGAACAGCGCTGGGAGCAGACGGCTTTACATGTCAGCAGGTGGAGACAGTTGTTAGTGGCAGTGAGGCAGAGATCTGTTGAGGGACCGGGTGTGTCCAGGTGTGCTGCATGAATGATTAGTCATTCACGTAAGTCATGTGTGGACCGCACCACATGCTGTATGTGAGCAGCTAACATTTCTGAGCCCCGTTTGTTTGGGTGAAGTCCGTCTGTCTTAAAAAGAGACATTCTTTGCCAGAAAATATTAAAATTATCCACATAACACACAGTGAGCCCTGTAGGCGGACTGGAGCCATTCGTGGAGGCCAAGGAGTCTACTGAAGCGGCCAGCACCGCGACCGACTGTGGGAATGGAACCAGAGATAAAAACGGACTTTCCACACTGCTTTAAAAAGTTAAGAAGACGGTTAAAATCTGATTTTGTCAGCTCAGACTGCTGAAGAGCTGTGTCATTTGTTCCCACATGGACTATCACTCTTGTGATGGAGGACGGGAGCGACGGCATCAGGTCCTGGAGTTTTTTTTAAATGTCAGCCGTGGCACCAGGGAAGCAGTGAGTGGTAGCGTTAAAGAAACTGATGTTTCTGGTTATGGAGTCACCAATTATTAGTGTGGTTGGGAAGAAAAGAGGACGAGGAGATGCCGGTTGTGGGGTTCCAGAGCAGGACTGATCAGAATCTGCTTCAACACTGCGTGCGGACTGAGGATGGAGTGTGTGAGCTGCCGAGTGTTGTGTTGGAGTAGCAGTAACAGACCTGAGAGAAGAGCTACCCAACGGTGGAGGGTAGAAACGGCCTCCGGAGCGTCTGAGCGCAGCCTCCTTCCAGATCCTACGTCGGGAAGCGGAGGTTTTATGACCGGGCAGTGCAGGAGATGTAGCCGGTGAAGGAGATGCAGCCGGTGAAGGAGATGCAATAGTGTCGGCAGGCACTGTCCACCGAAAGAGATCCATATCAGGGAGACTCAAAGTCGCAGGTGCATCCACTGGATGGACCGGAGTGTCGTTAGACAGGGCTGCATAGCAGTTGGAGAGGCCGATGTGCGGAGGACAGCGTTAATTAACAAAAACACAAAAAGCACTACGGAGCATCATCCTGAGGCAGCCATCTGCGGTGCCATCTTGGAAGTAGAGTCCACCGAGGCCCACTGTATGATGGTGGGGAGCTCTCTGACGAAGCCGCCAATGGATGGCAGAGGGGTGGTGGCGGACAGCGGGATGGAAACATCGCCAGAGATCTCACCGGAGAGAGCCCCCTCGAGGCTGGAATCGTCCAGTAAAGGCCAGGGTCGATGGAAGGTTGGAACGGGGAAAGCGGGGAGCCGCTGGGGGACCCGTGGAAGGAGAGGGTGGAGTCGTCCAGTTCCTGCTCCTCTGGCAACATCCTCCCGATCGCTTCGTCCAGCGAGTGTGTGCCACACTTTCTCGTCGAAGACGGCAAAGTTATCCGCCCGGTGTTGACGCTCCTCGGGGGGGAGGAGAGCACAGTACGGGCAGCGTGAGTCGGGGGTGAGCGTTCGTCCAGCATTCGCCGGACCAAGGCAAGCCTCACATCGGGGATGGAGGTCCCCCGGCAGCATGAAGCCCGTCTCACAAATTTCACATAGCCGGATGGTGGTGGCCTCGCCCCGCTCTAGCAGGCAGGTAGGAAGACATCGCTTCTGCAGGTAGATTCTTCTTCTTACTTCTACCTCTTTAGACTTCAAGCTCAGTGCTGAAGAAAATAGGGAACCGAAGGCTGGGTCTCACCGTTGTGCGTGTGTGTGTGTGTGTGTGTGTGTGTGTGTGTGTGTATTTATATATACAAAGTGCGGAGGTAGGAGAGGTGCGTAGACTAAAATTCTCAGTGCTGCGCAGGTATGCGGAGGGGTAAACCCAATAGCAATAGCCTTAGAGGGCGAAGCCTATACGAATTAGAACAACCCATTCATAATATTAGGCCTGTAGTTGTGTCAGTGGTTTAAATGTTCGCAGGAAGTTGGAATTTTCTAAAATGTGTGTATGTATTTCATTATTCTCCACAGATGTCCAGCTGCTATTGGTGACTAAAGAAGAGGTTCCCCCTGAGCAGCAGGAGTGCAGACCCCGGCTAGACCAGGAGGACCCATCAGAGCCCCAACACATTAAAGAAGAGTGGAGCTCCAGTCTGGACCAGGAGGACCCATCAGAGCCCCAACACATTAAAGAAGAGTGGAGCTCCAGTCTGGACCAGGAGGACCCGCCAGAGCCCCCACACATTAAAAAGGAACAGGAGGAACGCTTGATCAGTCAGGAGGGAGGGGAGCAGCTTCAACGTCTGGGGGAGGCTAATTTCATCAAATTCACATTCACTCCTGTCCCTGTGAAGAGTAAGTTAGATGAAGAGAAACCTCAGTCCTCACAGCTTCATCAAAGACTAACTGAGCAGATGGAAACAGAAGCTGATGGAGAGAACTGTGGAGGACCAGAACCAGCCAGGAACTCTGATGCAGATGGACATTTACAACCGGCTACTCATGACAAGATGTCACACTCATCTGAAACTGAAACTGATGAGAGTGATTGGGAGGAGACCAGAGAACCTGAGTCAGGTTCAAACCCTCTGCAAAACAGTGAAGTACCTGTAAGTGATCAGGAATTTTGTACTGGAAAAACATCAAGCAGCTCCTCTGAATTTGCTACAAGCTTTGGCCACGAGGGATGTCTGCAGGAGCACAGTGGACTTGAAAAAACCGGAGAGGAGCCACTTAGTTCTGTCTGTGGTAAAGGATCAGTTTTAACCAAACACTTAACAGGTCATACAGGAGAAAAACCTTTTAGCTGCTCAGTTTGTAAAAGAAATTTCAAAAACAGAAGCAGTTTATCCAAACACATGAGAACCCACACAGGGGAGAAACCGTTCAGTTGTTCTGTCTGTGGTAACAGATTCACACAAAAGTCAGATGTGAGACGACACTCAACTGTCCACACAGGTGAGAAACCCTTCAGCTGTTCTCTCTGTGGTAGAAGATTTGCACAGAGGTCAACTTTGACCTTACATATAAGAGTTCACACAGGAGAAAAACCCTTCAGCTGCTCAGTTTGTAAAAAAAGATTCCGTGACAAAAGCTATATGTTCAAACACATGAGAATCCACAGAGGGGAGAAACCTTTTAGTAGCAGCGTTCGTTATAAATGTTTTGGGATCACAGGAACCTCACAAAGGTGAAGAGGTCATATAGGATCTTAATTGTCATGCTAGTCATTGAACTCAGTTTCCCAGTATCCTCCAAAGTAGGGCTGAATGATTTTGGAAAAAAATCTAATCAATTAATTTTTAAGCTCTTTCCCTTCTGTATTATTCAAAACGGACAAGCAGTAAATCAGTGTATAGTCTGACCAACACAATATTAGCTAGATCAAACATCCACTGTTCTTTCTTGTGAGTCAGGCCTGTGTTAGGATGAAATTAGGTGCATGAATTATTATTATTATTATGAGCAATGGTGGAGAAGAAGTATCAAATTATAATAATATGAGAAAGATAATTTGAGTCAAGTCATGGTATTAAATATGATATATCATCAGGTCGACCTACAGACCACAAGAAAAACTAACTCACCACAGTGTGCTATACAGGAAGCGATCAATACAAAACACACAGTTCAACCACCAATTAAAGCGTCCATATCTTAGCTCAAATCTCCCAGGAGTCCATCTTTCTGTATCCCAGTAAGCAAACAAAAAATACTCAGTTTGAGGTTCAATTCAAAAGTTCGCCAATGAAAATAAAACCAAGTGACGCCTCTCGTGTTTTATAGACAAGCTTAGTAATTCTCCAACAACACCAGAGTTCCTCCGCAGCCTTCGATGCTGGTGAGCAGCGCACTGGCTGTAACCAGGCTGTAACTCAGGACAGACTGGGCCGTTTGGTTTGAAACGCTGTTTCACAGATATTTCCTGAGCTAACTGGTGGCTGTGTGTGTGACGCTGGCGCCGATTGCCACAATACGCTTACCTTACTACATGTGTCTTTCTGTTGTGCATTTTTCCTGTCCATCAAAGCAACGGATGGCACGATGATTTCACCCACCACCACCAAGTTACCCGCGTTGGCGGCTGCTACTTTCATTCCCTGTGTGACACTAAAGTTTATGTAGTGTCAGCTTCTGTCAGCTTCTGTCAAGCTTAAGGACATTGTACAACAAGAAGTCAAGGTACAGCATAACGTGCAAATTTGATGCTTTGTCTGCAGACTGGTTTACTCTTGGGTGTCATGTGACCAGAGTGTAATCGCAGCCTTGGCGATTAGAAAATCTCGTTTTATTACATCGCGATAATATCGCAAATGCAATTTACCTCTCAGGAGGACACCGGCCTGTTTTGACGCCACAGCGGCCTCCCAGCTTGGCCTGCTCAGACCGGACAGCCGCTTAATATCCTGATGGTCAACATGTTGTTTTAAAATGTGATTTATAAATGAAATGACTTTAGTTACCTACAGACATCACAGTTTATTTCTATTTGAATGGACTCTCCTGGTCTTTGCTCTCATTATGTGTAAAACACGAACAGTTGATTCTTAAACTGCTCGGACTGTCTTTGAGTTTTATCGGTCAGATCTCAAGTCTTTGTTTCAAACTTTGATTTTACACAGTTGGACAGCTGATGTGTTGTATTTGTTGTATTTAGTTGCTTTTAAATCAGAGGTTTTGGATTTTCTAGCCTTTTCCGGACAGTAATCAGATGCCATGTGGATGTTGAGAGAGTTGTTGGCTGCTGTAATCATTCTTCAGCTGGGTGTCTTCATCCGGGACTCAAGTATGTTCATTGGAGTTGTTTTGTTGCAGCAACAAATGTCCAAGTGACTGCGAGACATACTGCTCAGCAAGGAAACCCAGTCTGTGGAAACATGAAGGGAGTTTTGTTTGATTTATCTTACTCAGACTGCAGAGATCAATGTAAAGTGATTTGTTTCTCTCCCCCGAACACATTTTTGGTTCAAATGTATGGCTGCTCTTTAGCAGCTTCATGGTTATTTTCTCACGGCTTAAACATATTTTCTCATTTGTTTTAAGGAAAATCTTAATAACAGGTGTAAATACATACATAATACATTAATTAACATTAACATTAATAACATTAACATTAATACATTAATTATAAAATTATGATGTGTAATCCATTGGAAGTTAGTAATAAAAATGTTTTAATACTTGATAATTTTTGTGTATCATTTGGAAACCAAGTAGTTATTGATCTATAAATAATATACATTATATGTGGCATTAATTGTAAAAGATCGAAGCGGATCCAGGAAGAAGTTGGTGAGACTGAGATGACACTGTTAGACTTCTTTCAAACATGGGGGCGGGCTGCTAAACAAACATTTCATTAATCAGACAATCCACCACTTTAAAGGTAAAGTATATCAACAATCAGTACAATCCCTCCACTAACGGACCTCGAAGACGACCACTGTTTTACCGATAGGTCCTGAGGAAGGCCAAGTGAAACCGCAACTGCAATAAAATGTATATTACAAATGGTCTACTTTACCCACTACTGAAATACAAGACATTGAGAAGTACAATAATAATCAGAAGATTCATAATCAGAAGAAGCTTTATTGCCAAGTAGTGTTTTACACCTATGAGGAATTTGCTTTGGCGATAAGGTGCTACACGTAGACAAACATACAGTTGACATAAATAAGTCTAGAAATATATAAATATGGAATAAACAATGCAAGTTATATAAGAATAATAAAAAGAACAGCGGAAAATAATACAACTATTTGCAGAGCACAATAAACATAATAAATAAATATAATATAGTAAATACATGTTGCTTTTGTACTGTTTACTTTACTTTGTGGTATTTCTGTATTTACTTCAGTAAAGGTTTTTCTACCAGAATACTTAACAATGCCATATGGGGAGTTGGTCGCTTTTATTTTGAAAAAAGGTTCAGAAGTGGTACCGGAAGTAAATGTCCTTCCTGTTGCTAAAATGCTACATTTTAGCGCTACGTAGCGCGTGAGTTGAGCCATAAGAAACTGTCAGAGTTCAGCAGCAGAGGCTGCATGTGAGGATCAACGTGTTTAAGTGGACTCTGTTTAAACTTTCGGGATGTTTCACCTCAGACTCATCTCCTGTTAGCCAAGAATGCTAAAGGAAGTTAGCTTGTTAGCAGGAAGTAGCCGGAGCCGGAGCTCGGCCTCACAGTGTGTATTTTATCAGAGTGAGCTGCGTGTCTGTAACGGAGTGTGTCTGGAGGAAAAGCTGCTGTAAACATGTCTAAAGTCCAAACGCTGAGAGCTTTTGTCCAGCAGCGACTAAGTGCGGCTGCTGAAGAGATATTTGAGCTGTTTGAAAGAACGATAGCAGAGTACGAGGAGGAACTTTGTGGACAACGCAAACTACTGGACGCTGTTTTCAAGCCTGAAGTCCGGTTACACAGAGCAGGTTTGTGCACTTTACTGCTGATTCTCGCTGTAAACTGCTGGGAAAGATTCACATCATAACATTTATATTTGAAAAGAAAATGCTCAACACTTAATTTCCTGCATTCTGGTGAATTCTTCTGCAAACATTTCTGCATCAGTTGATCAGTTGAAACGTCTTTAATTATATAAAGGGAAACAGAAAATTCTTACTGCAGGTGACCATTCAAAATATAAAAAAATGCATAGTCTATGTCCCACTTTTCACTTAAATAACCCCCCCAATTGTTGTCACAACAATGTGTTATACACACAGCAGGTTTGTACACTTTACTTGTTACTCTCACTGTAAACTGCTGAGCAGTAGTGATGTTGATGCCACAGGAGTAAACTGGAATATTCACACCCTCACTGCATTACTGTGGTGCACTTTGAGACCAAAATGAGAGGCTAGCTCTATGAAGTTTGTGCTGCCAGAGGCGGGCGATGGTGAAAATCCAAAAGAAGCAGAGCATTTGAGCCATCAAACAAATACAGCGAATGTTTAGCTGAGCTGGTTTATTTTCTTAATACAGGTTCATTTCTTTCGCCCTGCATCCCTGCATATTGGCAGAGTCTGCAATACGCCGTCTGTTTGCTGTAATACACAGATAATTAGTATACACGTAGACTTAACTTGGCACAAACAACTTTGCTAACTCTTCCCCGTGAGGATGTACTACTTGAGATAGGAAAGCCAGAGATTGCTGACCTTAAGAAAGACTCCCTCCTGACCGGCTTTATGGATGTGGCCTCCTGCTCAACACCGAAGCACCAGTCGACCTGGGCCCAGGTGGTGGTCCATGGTTGCAAGAGAGGCCTGGGCGTGGCCACTTCGGTCCAATCGGCGGATGTACCTGTGGCTCCATGACGTCCTGACTTGGAACTCCTTTCTGTGGACATTGCTTTGCTGTTTTTTATTTTTAATAGGCCTATTTAATTGCAGAGCTGCTTGCAACGCATATATATTCCCAGCATCTTCTCTCAGTCACTCACACTCTCCCTCTCTCTGTGGCTGCCCGCCACAATATCAACGCTGCCCGCCACAGATCGATTTTTTCGATTTTCTTCTACTAGGCCTATTTAAAATCCTATTTGATTGCAGAGCGCTGTAGCACATTCGCGCAGCACTTCCTCTCGCTCGTCCCTCTTTCTCTCTCGCTCACCCGTCCCTCTCCCTCATGAACACAGCTGCACAAATCTATCCAACACAACGCTGTCAGTGTCGGAGACCCAGCTTAAAAAAGCAAGCATGTAAGGAGCCTAGCTAATAAGGAGAGCTGAGTTAAAGTTTTCGAGGCTAGCACGCTGCATATTGCATCGGGCCACTGTTATTGTCGAGCCCTGACTCAGACATTAATGTCTAAACTGCTGCCAACAAAAGTGAGTACACCCCTCACATTTATGTAATTATTTGATTATATCTTTTCATGTGACGACACTGAAGAAATGACACTTTTCTACAATGTAAAGTAGTGAGTGTACAGCTTGTGTAACAGTGTAAATTTGCTGTCCCCTCAAAGAAACACATCACACAGGCATTAATGTCTAAACCGCTGGAAACAAAAGTGAGGACACCCCGTGTGTCATTCTGACAGAAACACTGTTAGTTTAAAATGTTAGTTCTAGAGCTGCATTGGAAAAAAACTGACATTGCAATATTTTTCTCTTCTGCTATATAAGAAAAAAATACAGGAATTTTCACCAGATCACTTCAATAGCTGTATTTGAAAAGAATTAATCATCCTAGAATTATTGGGGTGAAAATTAAATTAAGCTGAAATATTTCTTTTTAGTCTGAATACTTTTTTTTAAGTGCAAACCATCCTTTCTTGAGTTTTAATGTAGTAAATATTTTCCAAACAAAATTTAAATTAAAATAAAAGAGCAGCTATACACCAGACACCCGAGGGGTTTACAAAGGTTGCTTTCTTTTTGCAACTAAATCCACGGTTTCAGTGGTTTTCTCCTGTTCCTTACTCATTTTCAAGTTGTTGTCAACAACTAATGGGGGCGGGGGCATATTTTGGCTATATGTATGTTTTTCAATGATATGAATCAAATTTTCATTGCCTTATTGTTAATGGGCTCAAATCTCACTTGTAAATGAAGCACACGCCTGTTTTCTCCGTTGCTTGCATCAGCCACTATTCTGCTTTTCATGTGGCGACTCCGGGTCAGATTCAGCCCTGTACGCGCTCCCGAGCCTCTCAGACTACAGCGACAACACGCCAGCTAACAACATGCAGGCCACTAACACCATAAAACAACCGTCTCACAGCAAAACACAGGCTCCACGTAAAGATACAAAACAACAATAAAGGTTTATGTGCTGAAGCCCATCAGAACAAACAGGTTCAGATGATATCGAGTAAGAACAAAGTGAGCATTAGTAAAGCTGGAGAAACACAGAGAAAGTCATGTTATCTCGCCGGCTAGCGCCAATGCTAATGTTATCCGGTGCAAAGTTAGATAACGTTAGCTTTTCATATTAGTTCACCAACTAACCCGTGTTACTATCCTGTGCACCACTGTTGATTTAGCCTACAAGAATGGATGTAACGTAAAAAGAAAATGTGGAGCGATTTGTTTACTAACGTTAGCCTATAGTAACGTAGCCAGGAGCAGCCAGCTAACGCTACAGTAGCTGCTTCGTAACGTTCCATGTAGGTTTATTGTGGTTTTACCGATACTCAGGTACACAGCTTCTCCACCTCTCAGTTGCTGTAACTAACGTGACCCACATAATATACAACACTGCAACAAAACGGTCACAACAACACAGCGGAAGAGCCATCCACTATCACTAGTTACAGTAAAGTTACTTACTGCGGTCTAACTGTTACAAAGTGTGACACAATCTTATAATATTCAGTCCAGCTCACCACCCGTTTCATTATCTTCCAATATATGTAGCTGTGTTGACATTGCTGAGCCTCCGGTGAAAGATACACAGATAGCGAGCTAACGATGTAGCAATTTGGCTAAATGCAGTAAATGTACCGTGATCGTGTAACGAGCATGGATTAGTTCAACCTGCAGCTAATAAAACTTTTACTGTAACGTTGCAGTGGGAGTTTACCTGAGTTTCCAGCTCTGTCTGTTCTCCCTGTCTGTCTATAGCCGCTGTCACTCTGCCTTTTTTCAGGAGTATTGTGCCGATATGCGGCTCGCTGCGCTGAATGAAAGGTACGGCGCCGGTGTTGATCTGCCTCTGAGAAGGGAACCTTGAAGTAACAGAGCCTGAACATGTCTGAGTGAAAAGCTACAGCCTGCACGCAGATGTTCCTGCGTTTATTGCAGGATTTCTGTCTGAAAGCGGTTGTGTTTCAGATTATGCTACACGTACGAGCACACACCTGTTTGCAATCTTAGAACCGCACCGCTAGTGGCCGCTGGAAACTACATAATGCCCCTACATAATGTTAACAGGAAGTTATTTTTCTAAAATGTCTATGTATTTTATTATTCTCTGCAGACGCCCGGCTGCCATCGTTGAGTAAAGAAGACGTTCCCTCTGAGCAGCAGGAGAGGAGCCCCAGTCTGGACCAGGAGGACCCACCAGATCCCCCACACATTAAAGAGGAACAGGAGGAACTCTGGACCAGTCAGGAGGGAGAAAAGCTTGAAGGGCTGGAGGAGGAAGAAATCACCATGTTCACATTCACTCCTGTCCCTGTGAAGAGTGAAGAAGATGATGAAGAGAAACCTCAGTCCTCACAGCTTCATCAAAGACTCACTGAACAGATGGAAACAAAAGCAAATGAAGAAGACTGTGGAGGACCAGAACCAGCCAGGAACTCAGATCCAGATGGACATTTACAACCAGCGACCGATGACGAGACATCAGACTCTGAACCTGAGACTGATGGGAGTTGTGATTGGGAGGAAGCCAGGGAACCTCAGTCAGGTTCAAACTCTATGCAAAACAATGAAGAATGTGCTACAAGCTTTGGACCAAAGGAATGTCTGCAGGAACACAATGGAGCTCAAACAGGAGAGAAACCACGCAGTTGCTCAGTTTGTGATAAAAGATTCTTTGGGAAAGACTCCTTCAGGACTCATATGAGACTCCATTCAAAAGAAAAATGTTTCCACTGCTCAGTTTGTAAAACAAGTTTTGTTTCCAGAAGTCATTTGTCCATACATGAGAGGATCCACACTGGGGAGAAACCATTTAGTTGCTCTGTCTGTGGTAAAAGATACTTCTGGATGGACTCCTTAAAGACTCATATGAGTCTTCATTCAGAAGCAAAACGTTTTAGCTGCTCAGTTTGCAAAAGAACTTTCAGTTTTCAAAGCAGTTTGTCCAGACACATGAACATCCACAAAGGAGAGGAACCATTTAGTTGTTCTGTCTGTGGTAAAACATTTTACTAAAGCCATATCTGAAACAACATTTGATTCTCCACGCAGCGGAGAAACACTTCAGTTGTACCGTCTGTGGAACAGGATTCGCACAACAGGAAGACCTGAATAGACACGCGACTGTCCACACAGGAGAAAAACCCTACAATTGTTCTGTCTGTGGCAAAGGATTCGCACGAAAGGACGACCTGAAACGGCACACAACTGTCCACACGGGGGAGAAACCTTTCAGTTGTTGTGTTTGTGGCAGAAGATTCACACAAAGCTCAACTTTGACCTCACACCTAAGAGTTCACACAGGAGAAAAACCCTTCAGCTGCTCAGTTTGTAAAGCAAGATTCAGTAACAGAAGCAATTTGTCCACACATATGAGGACCCACACAGGAGAGAAACCTTTCAGTTGCAGCATTTGTGATAAAAGATTCTCTAGGCGCTATTATTTCAGAAACCACAAGTGTGCTGGTGAGAGCAGCGGAAGTAAATGAAGCTTTAGAGAAGCTTGTTCACCCGATTCCTACTGAGGGCAAGACACTGATCAGTTCAAAACTGTGACACATGCTGATTCTCAATTTTCTTAGTTATCCAGTAACTGTAAATTAGATAAACCAACGTTAAATCAACGTTAAACTTTTTTGCAACTGGCCCCACCGGGCCAGTGGATTTGAAACTTACTGTCCCTCCCTCCAAAATGTATTTATCAGTGTTACAACCAACTTTTAAGTTATGTTACTTTGTTGACATGTTGAATCATTTATTTTATATATATATATATATATATCCTGGATATAAAAAAACTAAACTAAAATGTAATCACAGTTAAAATTATAAAAAATGAAAATGGTAACAAAACAATTTACTTTTTAAAACAAAACATCCTAACAGACTCAAACATGACGTGCTCTCTCTCCGGCTGACAGCCATTTAATAAAAGATTTTTACACAGCAGCAGACACGAGTCGCCTCTATCCTGATTGAAAGGTCACCATGGTAGCGACTTGTCAATTACCTTGTAGCCCCGCCCTAAAGCCTCCCCTGCTTCCTGGTCTCTGTTCCTCTAAACGGGACCATAATTTACTAAATGAACATCACGCTGTGCAGGAAAGTGTTTACTGAGGGAATAAATCAGCTGAGAAGAAGAAACATTTTACCGTTATTTCTAATGGAGCCGGACTTTGTTTTGCAACCAGTGGAGTCGCCTCCTGCTGTCCGTTACAGAGAACGCAGGTTTAAGTTCACCTCTGCATGGTTTCACTTCACAGAGAATAACATTTGACAACCACTCGTCACGTCACTACAACTGTTGATTGGCCAACGGTGCGCGCAGTGAGCAGCAAAACAACTGCAGGATGTTAGTTTGTAATGTGATTTTTTTGTTTTTTTGTTTTTTTTTTGAGGGGACAGCAGATTTACACTGTTACACAAGCTGTACGCTCACTACTTTACATTGTAGCAAAGTGTCATTTCTTCAGTGTTGTCACATGAAAAGATAGAATCAAATATTTACAAAAATGTGAGGGGTGCACTCACTTTTGTGAGATGCTGTATCTGTGTGTTTTTTCGGTCAAATCACAAGACTTTAGACAAACTTTGATTTCACACAATTGGACTGTTGCCTTCAAAGCAGAGGTTCAGAGTTTTCCTGCCTGTACAGTATGAAATAACTTCTGTTATTACTTGTTGTTTTTATACCTTTTCTTTTTATTGTACTAGTATGATACTAGTCTGTCCACATGTGTAGTGTTTAAGTTGGAGCTGAGGAGTTGTTTGATTGTGTGTTTGATTGTTCCTCGCCTCTCCTTGAATGTCCATTTAAGGGAGATGATCTCTGTTTCTCAAGACATAGACATCCAGAGCTATTTTAAGAGTCCATCATCCTCCCTTTGCTCTTGGCCAGATGTTAAATACTGAACTAGGTGGGAGAAACTCTTGTCCAGTCTTTTTGTAATACATTCTCCAACGTCAGCAGTTTGTTGTAACTCTTTTTTTTTTTTCTCAGATGCTGTATGTATGTGTAGAGAGTTGTTAGTTGCTGTAATCTTTCTTCAACTCGTTATCTTTGTCCCGGGACTGGTGGATGTTTGTTACAGTGACCAACTTCCCAAGTGACGACATCCCTCAACCCCGACTCGGCAAGGAAACCCGGTCTGTCGAATCATAAAAAGGGAGTTTTGTAGAAAAGAGACTGTAAGTTTGGAAGACCCCACTTTGTCTAACTCAGACTGCTGAAGCCTCAGATTAACTTCACAAAGCATTTTCTCCAGTTAACATCGGCCTCGTTTCAGCTCTGGGACACATTCCTTTAGTGATCAAGTCATTTGGAAGAAACAAGTAGATGATGATGATAACTCCTCATTAACGAACAGGTTTCTCTGCAGAACATCTCTTTCCAGCTCATTCCAGTCTGTTTTCTAAAATCAAGTTTGCGACCTTCTTCTGTCTTGTTTCAGGATAAAGATTCATTTGGAGAAGATTTTTAAAACAAGTTAATGTTTTACTGGAAACTTGTTTTAATATTCTCACAGCTTGAACATGTTTTTTTATTATCAGAAAATGTTTTTAAAACTCTAACAGTGTATTTTAATGACTTTTCTGTTGATTCATAATGTGAATACCTTGTAAAACGTTTTGTAAAACATTAGAAGTAAAAATAAAAATGTGCAATGCTTTAAATGTGCTAATTTATCAGTTGGAAAACCAAATCCTTTAGCTGCTCTGACTGGTCAACGATTCGGCAGCAACTCGGCTCTGAAGAGACACGTGAGAATTTACACACTGCTATTTCATTTCAATAAATCTTGCATGTTATGTGTGTGGCTACTGTTTTCTATTTTTATTAGTTTTCCAACATTTTGTAAAATTTCAGCGGTGTTGGTTTTCTGTCCCATAACCCCCAGCTTCTAACTCTCTGAAACATCAGGAGAAGAATAAAAACAGGATGTGTTTCGTTGCTAACGACTGAATAAATGAATAAATGTGAATGGTTGAAAGCTCCGGTAGGTGATGAGTGACAGCTGGACGGTCAAGTGAACTTCCAGATATGTTTTTTCCCAGAAGACACCGCGCACAAAACATGATGAAATTAATCTCTTGGGGCCGTTTTATTATTATTATTACTATAAATGCATATTAACAGGAATCATAGTATTAGTTGACTATACTGTATAAGTATAGTAAATATTAACATAATGTACACAGATTTTACCTGTTTGTGGAGCGCGTTCCGTGCAATCTAGAAGTTTTTGTCTGTTCCTGGAATTATAAATTGGCTACTTGTGGTGCTCCAAGAGATAGATTTAGCACTGCTAAAACGCCCATCAAAGTTAAGTCCCAAATAAGCTCCAAATGAAAGCATGTTGCTCTGATAAAAAGCTGCTCCATCACCTCCGGGACTGGGCTTTACGCACTGACCCAGGACTCACACATGAACCGGGATCAGCGTGCACCAGAGTCCGGGGACGCGGGGCCTTTAGCGGGGGTGTCGGTGCTCGCTGTTGCTGTCATAATATAAAGTTTGTCTTATAATAAATGCAGGGCTTTGTGCGCGACATGTCTGTGCCAGCCTCACCTAAAGGTGTGGGGCTGTGTCCATTTGGGCAGCCAGTCTCAGTGCTTCAAGCCATCAGCTTATGCTCTTCGTTGTTTGTATGCAGTATTTATTTACCATACATTCTTTGCTCATAACCTTTTCATTTGAAGGTAGACATTTTATTAAAAGCAAACCCAAATAAAAGGCACCTAAAGCTACGATAAAATAGTCCAAATACAAATCAAAGCATGTTTTGACTGCTCAAACATTATGTAGGCTGTATAAAGTCCGTGTTGCTCAAATATAAACACCAAAATTAATGTTTCAAAAGTTGTTTCTGTTACAGTGGGTCATAATATATCTTTTAGTTTGTCAGTGCATTTTGTGGTGTTAGGAATTGTTTTTCTGCGCATTTCCGCACTAACTCAAAACTTGTGTACATGTACACCACCTCCTGAGCAGGCGTAGGATTTGAGCGTGCCGTACGCAAACATCCATACTGATAAATCTCAAAGCCACCGTGGTTTTGGGTGTACGCTGGAAATTTGGTGTACACACTTTTCATAAATGAGGGCCATAGTACATGATATCCAGCTAAACTAGTTTTTTGTGACTGTGGAAACTGAGTTTATGGTCACACAGCATACACAGTAATAGACTTTAGACTGCTGATGTTATATTGGAAATATAGACTGTTATCTAGATATTTTCAAGTGTTGCTGCCTTGTTATGTTTTCTCCTTTAGATGTGACATAGAAGAATTTACTACATCATTTATTTTCCTCCCATAGTTGCAGTGTGGATCATTGGTGACAGCTATATCCAGCATGGTGGCCAGAGAGCTGCAGAGAGCTTAGGAAGCATCTTCACCCTGCTGGACGTCTCTTGGTCTGGTTGGCTTCTCCCCTTCTTTTCCCTTCCCTGCGAAGAGGTGCACCATCAGATGTCCTCATCATGGATGGAGATCAGCTGGCAGATAAATAAGCAAAAGGAGCAACAAGAACAAGAGAAGAAGTAGAGTCATAAAATATAGCAAGGCTGAGGTTAAAAGAATAATCAAATCAGAAATGAAGATGAAATGTCAGGAAGAGTTGGATAGAGATAATATGGGCTGAAACCAGCAGTTGGAGAAATCAAGAGGAAGCAAAAACAGAAAGGAGCAGGACGTTATTTCAAGAATGAAGTTTGTTCACACCTGTTTGAACAGGACTTCAAAGTCCTGTTCAAACAGGTGTCATGTCAGGTGCAGGTGTCATGATGTTCAAACATCATGACACCTGCACCTAAAACCTGTTTGTTAACTTCAACCAAACAAGAAAGTAACCTGATCCTGTTCCAGCCCCTCCTGCCTGCCGCCATTACAGGTGCAGCTCTGAGTGATTCCAGGAAACAGCTCACCTGTGTTGAAGCTTTTTTCTCTGCTGCCGTCATCAACACTTTGGACGCTTTGAGGAAACTGTAAGTTGCTTTGTTTGATAATTTAACAACAAGTTTG